GTGTTTTGTTATCTGCAGTGAAAAAAAGACTGAGTCATCTAGTTAGACTCAATGTTACACCGTCAACAGAAATGTTTTGAGTTTCAGTTGAGACCTCTTGGGAAAAGCCAGGATTTTCCATCAAGTAAGGCTCGCAATCAACATCACTCATTGCACCTTCTCTCTCTCACTATCTGATCCCACAAAGTTCAGTCCATGAGGCAGTGAGACTGAGGAAATACCTCCTAAATATAAATAAGTGTACATTCCCATTGCTCCCAATGGACATGCCTTACTGGCATCATTACCGTGATGCAGTGTTGCAACCACAAGCAGCAGAGCAGAGCTTTATATTTCCTCTGAGCTGCAGAGCACTGAAACCAATAAGATTTCTATTTCCCCAGCCTCTTAAAGCGAAGTGTCAATTCTTGAAGTCTGAAATCAACTCCCACCTGCAGCTCGGATGCCCAACCATTAGTGTTAACCTCTTTGGGACGTCCTCCTGACATGAAAGGCGCTATATAAATGTAAATTTGTATTGTGTAGTATTCAATATCACTAATTTACATTAAAATCATTATTATTAAATCCTGTGAAGCACTTTGAAACCTCCTCCCTAAATGAAAGGCACGATATGAAATGCAAGGATTATTCTTATTTCATTAAAAAATCTCCCCCTGAGAAAACTCTGGGGCAAAAGTTAGTCCGATTCAAAGTAACAAACATTTGCAACCAAGATCTAAATAATAATAATAATAATAATCCTTGCATTTGAATTAGTGCCTTATCACGTCTTCAAACCGTCTCATAGCGCTTCACACAATATACTGTAAAGTGAATTAACTGTATATTTTATGGGCAAAATAAATGATGGGCGAACATCAGTGACTATTTTTCTTCTTTTGACTCGAACTAATCTTCCAAATAGAGGTTTGTGGGCAGTTGCCAACTCAAACTTTATTTCAATACATTGATTGTTGGTGATTATCCTGATGGTTATTTGGCATGAAGTCCTACCTATGCTCTGTGATACATATTTCTTTCAGGAAATTAAATTACTCTGAGACTTTGATGCTGGAGATTGAGTTTGTCTAAATGACAGCTTACAACTATGAGTCCTGTCTCTGTAGGCCCCAGTTATCTCATCTGTCTCTTTGTCTGTGTAATTATGTGTAAACCGTCTATCTTGCTAGCACAGGAATGTAGTTCCTTAGTCAGTTACTGATCACATTTGACATTAAGTCAACAGCTGTTTTCCACCATTATTAGGATTGATATAGTAAAAAATTGGTCACTCAATCCACGACTATTTGTTGGGACATTGCTGTGCGCAATTGGCTGACGCATTTCGCCCACAAAATACACAGTGAATCCACTTTACAATATAATCTGTGAAGCGTTTTGAGAGGTCTCAATGACTTGATAAATCACGACATCAAATATAAGGATAATTATTGTTATTATTATTATTATTATTATTTTGTATTGGATGTTTGTTTTCTTTTCCCGCTCGGTCATTGGGGTGGGATACAATCATTTTTTATTTTGGAAGATTGTTGTCAAAGTATAGTGAGGATTAAGGATTAGGTTGATCCAAATTAAGGATGATCTGCTCCACTTAGTGTTAGTGCAAAGAAAGTGTGGCATTATTCTCTGTTCCCCACAAATAGAGTGTAAATGTGGAGCAGGCAGGCTGCTGTGGAGTTAGATTCCTGACTCAGACCTGCAGTCTGATGGATATACCTTTAAATTGGATTCTCTCTAAATTACGCTCATCTATTTGCAGAGGAAGTATCATTAAGGAGTGCTGGACACAATCAGTTTGGGGGACCGGAGCACAGATATCTACTGGATAGGAGTGAAGGAGTCTTTCTGTTGGAGTGTCAATAATAATAATGACAGTGGAGTAAGGAAACCTGCCTAAGGTTTTGCCCTGCCGGGGAATCAAACCTGGGTCCTCTCGCTTGCGAAGTGAGCATGCTAATCACTACACCACAGGACTCCACAAACCTCCCCACTTCATCTCTTTCTTCCTCTCTCTCAGACTCTCTCCCAATCTCTCCCTCAGTCTCCTTCAGTTCTACTACAAGTCTCTCTTTCTCTCTCCCTCAGACTCATCTCCCGTTTACCCAGTGGATCTGGAACTCAATCTGCTGGGGGAAGGGGAGCCAGCGGAGCCAGGCAAGGATGGCGAGGTGGGGGGATGGGCTTGTGTAGTTGGTGCAGGAGAGGACACAGGTTGCAAAGATCTGGATACCTAACAACAATCACTGCACCTCAAACAACTTGTCGTGGGAAGCTCTTTGAGATGTTTCAACATGATAAGGCACTACAGCAATGCAAGTATTGATTTATTTTGTCTGGCACGTGAGATTATTGAGCAAAGGCAGTTTCTGATAATAGCTAGAAAGAGCTACTCGATAGGCTCTCAGAGCTGATCCCCATTGGCATTGCGTCTCTCTACTTCTATCAGAACGCGATCCCCCTCGCAGTATTACAGGAAATCTACATGTTTCTTCCAAATTGGGCAGACAAGTACAGTAATAGGTGTCAGCCTGGCTCAGCTAGTAGCAGGCTCCTCAGAATATAGTAGTCAGAATATAGTGTGTTCGAACCCCAGGTCAGGACTTTGAACTCGCTATTCTGAAGCTTCAACCCAATGCATTGTTGGAGGTTCTGTCCTTCGGGTGAGTGTTAAACCGAGGTCTCGTCTGTCTGTCCAGATGGATGTTAAAGATCCGCTGGCACTATTCGAAAACAGAAGGGAGTTTCTTCTGGTGTCCTGGCCAACAATCCACCAGAAAAAAAATTGTCACTCACTCCATGGCTGTTTGTGGGACATCGCTGTGTACAAATTGGCGGTTGAGTTCGCCCACAAACACACACAGTCACTGCACTTCACAGTATGTCTTGTGAATCGCTTCTGACGTGAAAGGCGCTGTACCAAATGTAAGTATTATTATTATTACCACTGCCATTCCCTCCCCCCACAAAAAAAGTGTTGCACCACTGATTGCTTGCCACTAGGTGACACTAATTCATTTGAAAAATACAGGTTCAGATTACACCCGCAAAAGAAATTAAAAGCAGAGCACAGTCTCCATGCTGACATTTTCTCCTGTTTATCTCCTTGACTGCAGGACGGTGCTCCAGAAATTTAGACATAAGAGCCTGAACCACCTACTTTCAAAAGTGCAGAAGCCTGGAATCAACTATGTGACAGCCATCAGCCAGCATATAGTTGTACATTTCCGGGAAGGCAGTTTATTCTTAACGCTGTGTGGGAAAAGATAAATTAAACTCCTGTCACGCACCACAAGTATTAATTGCAAACTTGGCAAGCTGCATTGTTTTTGAGCATGTCAAAGGTGGAAATGAACTTGCTCCAGGGCACTTGGCGAATGGAATGTTTGAGATAATAATAATACTTCCAATTGATACAGCATCTTATCAGGCAGCAATACCTCAGTGCGTTTCACTCTTTGAGTTATTTTTCAAGTGCAGAGACTGCTGTTATCGCAGATATAAACATGGCAGCTAATCTATAGCAGCAACGACCTACACAAGCGATGAGGCGCATGACCCAATCTGATTTTGTTCTTAGTAACTTTGGCCGAGGGGGAAACAATTCCGACCATAATAATCCTTGCACTTGACACAAGGCTTTCCACAATGGGAGGACGTCTCAAAGGATGCACTATGAAATGCAGTAACTGCGTGTTTTGTAGGCAAATTGTGCATTTTGTAGCTGTATAAAACTTTGCCTATAATATAATACAAGGTCACAAAACTACACAGTAAATCCTTTGAAATGTCTCGATGCCATGATAAGGCATTGTATCAAAATGCAAGGATTACTAACATTATGTACAGGTATTTTGTATATTGGACAGGACACCGCTATGCTTCTTTAATATAGTGCTTTAATATTCACCTGAACCATCAGAACAGACAGATGGGACCTTCATGATTTTGTCTGGAGGACAGTAAATCTCTCACTACTGCACTGGGGTGTCAGCCTAGTTATGAGCTGGTGTGAGGCTTCAACCCAATAGTCATTTTGACTGAGCAGAGGAGAGCGCTACCAGCTGAGCCACACTGGCACTACAGTGGTGACTTTCTGACAAATCTTTGTTAAAGTCCATTGTTGCTCCACTGGCTCCACAAATAAATGCTCTGTCAGGTATGACACTAAACCACCGAGATCAGGAAGGTGCAGATAGGATCATTCACAGAAATCATAGAAATTTATAGTGCAGAAGGAGGCCATTCAGCCCATCAAGTCTGCACTGGCTCTCAGAGCAAGCTGTTCTTTCAATCCCATTGCCCTGCCCTCATCCCTATACTACTTCAAGCTTCTACCTTTCAATATACCTGTCTACTTGCCTCTTGAAACCCATACTCCACTCTGCCTCTATCATCTTGAGACTCAATCCTCTGAGAATCTACCCTGTGTGAAGGGCACTTTATAAATTTAAGTTGTTGTTACTGGTGGGCAGAGAATTCCACGGCTCAACAACTCTCTGTGTGAAAACAATTCTCCTAATCTCTCCTTTCGCTCCTCTTGTGACCGTCTTATATCATTGTCTGACTCTCAGTTGGAGTGTGAGGAGAAGGGGGATTCAGTGGTAAAGATATCTTTAAGTTCTTCAGGCTCAGATGGAGGGGAGGAATTATCAAAGTTATTGGTTGCCATTGAGCAGACCATAGTGTGGACACAAGATGAGAAGCTCTCACAGTGACACAGTTAATCAAAACTCACTGGTTTTGACAACAGGATTAACCTCCATGCCCCTGGCTTCAATGGTCATCTTCAGAGGGGGAGGGAGTAAGAACAGAAAATTGGAGTGGGGGCAGAGAGTAAATGCAGTATGAGAACATGTACTCCAAAAACAAGGAAAACATTGAAAGGTGGCCATAGGCGCGACCTGAAGGTGGGAAAGGATGAGGCAAGGCGGAGAGATTGAGGGAGAGTATTCCAGAGTTTCGGAGCGTAACGGCTGAAAGTGCGGCCACTGATAATGGAACAGAGGACACGAGGGACAAGCAGGAGGCGGGAGGCGGGAGCCAGTCGAGCGGAGGCAACGGGTACTGGTTTGGGGAGTAATCGGGTCAGAGAGGTAGAGAGGTGCCAGGGCATGAAGGGGTTTGAAGATGAGCGTGAGGATCTCGAAAGCGATCTGTTCGGTGGACAGTTATTATCGCTTAAGGTCAGGCAACGGGGCTGGGCTGGCTGCAAAAGTACTCAGGGCTGTGGGTGCGTAAGAAAAAAAAATCCGTCCGTGACTGGGGTAAACGCGGGGAGAAACGACAAGAGCGTGAGGGAAGCCAATCGGAAAAACGGACGGGGAGCGAGCTGAAGCGTGGACACTGCCTGGCCAACACGCACTCACGGGCAAGTCATTTGGAGTCCTGTAGCTCAGTGGTTAGAGCACTCGCTTTGCAAGTGAGAGACCTGAGTTCAATTCCAGGCAGAGGGCGAAACCTTGGGCAAGTTTCCTTACTCCACACAGAGCCTAATAATAATCCCTCCAAAACCCAAAACAATAATAAATTGGTCATTTTCAATCCATATGACTGTTTGCGGGACATTGCTGTGCGCAATTGGCTGCCGCGTTCGCCCACAAATATACAGTCAATTCACTTTACAGTGTGTTCTGTGAAGCGCTTCGGGATGTCCTCCCGACGTGAAAAGCGCTATATCAAATGCAAGGATTATTATTATTATTATTATTATTATGTTACTCCGCGGGTTGTGGTGGAAGGAAGGTTTCTGTCTTGATCTCTGGGTTGGCCGGAGGTGTCTTTTGAGCCTCTGGTCCCAGTCCTCCTCCCTCATGTTGGTTTGATCTGTGAATTTTGGAGAGCATCACCTTGCTCTAACCCCCAACCCCAGACACCCACCCCCCACACACCCCCACACCCCAACCCCCCCACACCCACACACCCCCACACCCCCCCCATCCCCCCCACACCCCCCCACCCCACCCATCCATCCCCTCCCAGAAAAGATCGCTTTAATTAGAAGTCGCATTGGGTTGGATTACGTGTGGTTTGTTTCAGCTCTTCCGGGTCAGGACTTGAATCTCAGTTCTCGGGCATCTCTGGAGTCGGTAACATCATCACAGCGAAGATCTGAGAAACCTCCTCTCTGACAGATCCGAACAAGTCAGAGCCCATCACACACACACACACACACACACAGCAGTCAGAGCCCATCACACACACACACACACACAGCCAGACACACACACACACACACAGCCAGACACACACACACACACACAGCCAGACACACACACACACACAGCCAGACACACACACACACAGTCAGACACACACACACACACACACACACACACACAGTCAGACACACACACACAGTCAGACACACACACACACACAGACACACACACACACACACAGCCAGACACACACACACACACAGTCAGACACACACACACACACACAGCCAGACACACACACACAGTCAGACACACACACACACACAGTCAGACACACACACACACACACAGACAGACAGACAGACAAGGCAAGGCAGACTGGACAGATCGCTTTGCTGTGTCTCTTTAGAGATCAGATCTGATCCCTATAGAGATATAGATATATAGAGAGAGATTTTTTGGTTTTTTTTAAAAAAAAGAAGGAAAAGGAAACAACACAACAAGAATGAAAGAGATGGGAGACTGAGCAGAGCCGAGGACATGGAAGGGAAAGGCAGCACCAGCAGCAACAACAGCAACAACTACCACCACCACCAGCACCAGCACCAGCCCCACCATCAGCCCCACCAGCCCCACCAGCCCCAGCACCACCAGCCCCAGCACCAGCCCCAGCACCAGCCCCAGCAGCAGCCCCACCAGCCCCACCATCAGCCCCAGCACCAGCCCCACCAGCCCCACCACCAGCCCCAGCCCCACCAGCCCCAGCAGCCCCAGCACCAGCCCCACCAGCCCCAGCACCAGCCCCATCAGCCCCAGCACCAGCCCCACCAGCCCCAACACCAGCCCCAGCAGCCCCAACACCAGCCCCACCAGCCCCAACACCAGCCCCACCAGCCCCAGCACCACCAGCCCCACCAGCCCCAGCACCAGCCCCAGCAGCCCCACCAGCCCCAGCACCAGCCGCCCATCTCCATCCCTCGGCGCTCAGGCGCTGTCGGGGATGGAGAGCCTCTGCCCTACGCGTCCAAATGCGCTCCGAGCGCACCCGCTCCGCCGAGAGCAGCGAAAGCCGCCGACGCTCGGGAGGTGGTCCAGAAAGCGCTGCAGTTCAAGGCTCAGGGCGGACAGTGCTACCGGGAGAAGAAATTCCGGGAGGCCATCGGCAAGTACCACCGGGCACTGCTGGAGATGAAGGGGATGGTGGCCGCGGGCCTCCCGGAGCCCTCCCGGTCCCCCGACCCCGACCCCGTGAGAGTGGAGCCCGTCCCCGGCCCGGGGGCGCCCCCCCCGCCACCCGCACCCTCACCCGCACCCGCACCCGCACCCGCACCCTCACCCCCGCACAAGCTCACCCTGGAGGAGAGGAAGGCGGTGGAGGGCATCGAGATCGAATGCTACAACAGCCTGGCAGGTGGGTGGCACTGGGGGGGGGGGGGGGGAGGGGGGAGAGGGGGGAGAGGAGAGGAGAGAAAGACAGACAGAGGGAGAAGGAGAGGAGAGACAGAGAGAGATGGAGAGGAGAGATGGAGAGATGGAGAGGAGAGACGGAGAGGAGAGACAGACAGAGGGAGAAGGAGAGACAGAGAGAGATGGAGAGGAGAGACGGAGAGATGGAGAGGAGAGAAAGACAGAGGGAGAAGGAGAGACAGAGAGAGATGGAGAGGAGAGACGGAGAGGAGAGGAGAGAAAGACAGAGGGAGAAGGAGAGACAGAGAGAGATGGAGAGGAGAGATGGAGAGGAGAGACGGAGAGATGGAGAGGAGAGACAGAGAGAGATGGAGAGGAGAGATGGAGAGGAGAGACGGAGAGGAGAGGAGAGGAGAGGAGAGAAAGACAGAGGGAGAAGGAGAGACAGAGAGAGATGGAGAGGAGAGACGGAGAGATGGAGAAGGAGAGACAGAGAGAGAGGGAGAGGGGAGACGGAGAGGAGAGGAGAGAAAGACAGGAAGAAGGAGAGACAGAGAGAGATGGAGAGGAGAGATGGAGAGGAGAGACAGAGAGATGGAGAAGGAGAGACAGAGAGAGAGGGAGAGGGGAGACGGAGAGGAGAGGAGAGAAAGACAGAGGGAGAAGGAGAGACAGAGAGACATGGAGAGGAGAGACGGAGAGATGGAGAGGAGACAGAGAGAAGGAGAGGAGAGACAGAGAAGGAGACAGACAGAGAGAGAGAGGAGAGAAAGAGACTGACAGAGAGAGGAGAGAAAGAGACAGACGGAGAGAGGAGAGAAAGAGACAGACAGAGAGAGAGAGAAGGAGAGAAAGATACCGAGAAGAGAGGAGAGAAAGAGACAGACAGAGAGAGAGAGAAGGAGAGAAAGAGACAGAGAAGAGAGAGGAGAGAAAGAGACAGAGAAGGAGAGAGACACACAGAGAGAGAAGGAGAGGAGAGACAGAGAGAGAGAGGAGAGAAAGAGACAGACGGAGAGAGAAGGAGAGAAAGAGACAGAGGAGAGAGAAGGAGAGAAAGAGACAGAGAAGAGAGAAGGAGAGAAAGAGACAGAGAAGAGAGAAGGAGAGAGACACACAGAGAGAGAAGGAGAGGAGAGAAAGAGAGAGAGAGAAGGAGAGAAAGAGACAGAGAGAAGAGAAAAGGAGAGAGAGAGAAGGAGAGGAGAGAAAGAGAGAGGGGGGCTTCTGGAGAGGTGGGTGGGTGGTGGGTGGAGGATGGAGAGGGCACTGGGGGTCGGGGATGCTTCACGTTACTCTTTCACTGACATCTTTTGACATCTCAGTCTCTTTCCAAGCTCTTACTTTTGCCCCTACGTTATGTCGATCTCCCCCACCCCCTCCTCTTTTTTTATTAGAATAATAATAATAAATAATGATCCTAATAATACTAAAAATAATAACAAATCCCTGCATTTGATATCGCGCCCGACCACGGATCTTCCAGACGTCTCAGAGCGCTTCACAGAATCTACGCGGAATCGCCCACAAAATATACAGTCAATTCACTTGACGGTGTATCCTGTGAAGGGCTTTGAGACGTCGTGACGATGCGATAAGGCTCTATATCAAATGCAAGGATTATTATTATTGTTAGTATTATACTGTAAAGCATTGTTATTATTATTATTGTTGCACCGTGTATTTTGTGGGCAAATTGTTTTTGAAATTCCCTCTAAAAATTAGATTTCTAAACATCTAATCAGCCGTGCAATAACACAGCCAAGGAGGGGGTCAGATAGGATAGACCCAGGGAATGATGTTCACCTCTGTTGCTCACACCTTGCACAGACGCACACACACAGACACGGCGTGGTGTTGGGAATGACTTTCACAGCCCTCTCCTTATTTTATTCATTAACCTGCCCACAACACTATTGAGTGCCTCCTCAATTTACAGCAATTTACTATTACTGTGGTCAGCCGGATGTCTGACAAATGCGGAAACCGATCACCATGCTTAAGAATATCCAAACCGTACTGAGAATTCCACCTACACGTTGAAATTCCAGAGATAAATTGGCAGAATGGAATGCGCACTCTCTCCCTGGAGGGATGCATCCTGCTTACCTAATTCCGGAAAGTATTAGGAGCAGGCTGGCGAGAGCCAAGGCTTGAACCAATTTACTATGACTGTGAAGAGGTGCTGTGCACTGCAGCCTTCCTTGTGCGTTGGTTGCCGTCATTAAATATAGATTACAGTCGTGATCTCTGTGAGCAAATGCACGTTTGTAGAACATGATACTGGCCCGAGGGGGGTTTCTTTCACTTGCTGACTTTACTCCTCAAGAGGATGAGGGACTACGTGGCTCTTGCATCTTTTGAACAATGTACTTTAACCTTGACAAGCCCAGCTAGCCAGCTGATTGAGTGCTCTGGGACTTTACCCTGCATGAGGGATGCAATTTGCTGTTGTTGTTGTTGTTGTTGATTAAAAGTGTCCTTGAAAAATTAGGCATCCTGTGGATTGGGTAGCAGTGGGTCAATGGGGCTGTCTGGCTGGGTTCAAGTTTGTGTCTCCAGAGTTTATCTGGAGTTGAATATCCAAATATCCAAAAGTTGTAGATCTCGAATCATTTGTCTCCACTGAAGGTCATAAAGTATCATGACTTGTCATTGGCAATTCCAAGTGGACTGCAAATGGACAATACCAGGTAGACTGTCCAAGCAGGGATGAAGGGCACTGGGACTTTTGTTCAATTGCAAAATGTAGGTGAGGAGCCAAAAAGTACACTGGATATCATGGGTGTTCGTTTTCCCGAAGCCCTTGACTTACAGCTTTATTGGCTCTTCTACATAGAGAGTGGCCCAACCAGGCTGTGTCGATGTTTATATTCCCCCACTGTCACAGCAGGGTTGAGCAGCTCCTCTCTGTGTCCTACGCTTTTGCAGTGACAGGTCCAGTGAGGTACAAGCTGCAGTAGAGATGGAGGATTACAACTAACACACATTCCGAGCTGTTGTTGTTCCCTCTATATGGTCTTTGTTGCTATGAATATTTCAGTAAGATTGAATATCCTGACAAAACACCAAATGGCTGTCGGAGAGAGTGGAAGCCTCACAGTCTTTTTTCTTTCTCTGATTCCCCGCCCCTCTACACATCTTTATTCAGTCGGCAGCTGAACTACACAGAACCAGAGATTGCAAGGTTAAATCTCACTCTGTCTTGAGTTATCCGAATGTCAGCCAAGGCAGGGACTGTGGGGGTGCTACAATTGTACAAGGTTAGAGGGAGGAGGAAATCAGCAAGCTTTCCCACCCCCCACCCCCGTTTATTCCAATTCCACAACCCTGGTGGAGGTGCAGTACAAGGGGCATCATCTCAAAATTGGAGCTAGGCCATTTCGGAGTGAAATCAGGAAGAGTTTTTTCGCACAAAGGCTAGTGCAATCTGGAACTCTCTGATCCCAAAAGGTTGTGGATGCTGGATCCCTTCAGATTTTCAACTGAGGTGGATAGATGTTAGTTAGGTAAGGGTATCAGGGGATATGGAGCAAAGGCGGGTAATTGGAGTTGAGATATAGATCAGCCACAGGCTCAAGGGGCTGACTGGCCTACTCCTGTTCCTAACTGAATAAACATCAGACACCTAAAATAGTGACCTGGACACTTTGCAATTGGGTGAGGGGGTGTGTATCAGAACTTTCAGCACAGGAGAGCGGGTGGGGCGTGGGGGGAAATATTGGTTAGAGGAAAAGGGACCTCTGACACTGGATTATGGGTTGGTGAATTTTGGAGTTAAAGTGTTTGCAAATCAATAGCAGGATATAAAGGAGGCTCTTTACATGGAATCAAACGGAGATCATAGGTCAAAGAGTGTGAGCTGTCCAGACTGCAGCAAGCACATTGACTGAGTGCAGGGCAGCTTCACATCACCAGAGCCTTCTGAGGGACATCTTTGAGAAGGCTGGGTTCAATAAGGTCTTGGGGTTCCAGCCAGTGGGAGGTGTAGCCATCAAGCCGGCTGACCACAAGATGGATGGCTCTGCAATTAGACAATCAAGGGAATCTTACAATCCATCCAGTTGATAGCAATGATATTTAAGTTGGCCAATAACTGGTTTTACAAATACAAATTCACATTTATGTAGCAACTCTCATGTCAGGAGGATGTGCCAAGGTCCTGAAAAGCCCAGAGTTCGCCTCAATCGAGCTGGGGCTGGGGTTCAAGGCGGTGAGGGAATGGAAAGATGGCCGAATGCTTGGTCAAAGAGGCCGATCTTGAAGGAGGTGAGGGAAGAAAGTTAGAGCTCATCCAGGATTTGATATCCGACAGGCAATCAGTCAAAACAGCAGTGGTCCTGGAATCGAGGGAGGAGGCAGAGAGATAGAGTTGGATGTCATCCGCATAACATGAGGAAGTTAACCCCATGTCTGCAGATGACATTAAAAAGGAGAGAACCAAAGACAGAGCCCTGAGGGATGCCGCACGTGACAGTGCGGGGGGGATAGGAGAAGCCTTTCAAAGAGACAGAATGATCAGCCGGGTGTCTGACACATGGGGAAAACCATCACCAGGAGAATTCCATGCATCCCACCTACACATGGGAATTCCAGAGATAAGATTGTTGGAATGGAATGGCACTCTCTCTCTCTCTCCCTGGAGGGATGCATCCTGAAACCTAATTCCACAACGTGTGAGGTGCAGATTGGCAAGAGCCAATGCTTGGAGACCCCAGAGTGTGCGGTTGGTAGCGCTGGAGTCTTAAGTTAAAATCGCTCGTACAACGCCTGAAATAATAACAATCCTTGCATTTGATACAGCGCCTTATCATGTCGTTTAAATGTCTCAAAGCACTTCACAGAATATACTGTAAAGTGGATTGACTGTATTCTGTTGGCAAAACGCAGCAGCCAATTGTGCACAGCAGTGTCCAACAAACAGTAATGGAGTAAATGACCAGTTTTATTTGGGGAATTTATTGGCCAGGACAACGGGAAAAACACACTTCTCTTTTCGAATAG